ATATAAATAATATGAGTACAAAATTATACATATATCTGATTTAAAATCTATTATTCTATAAATATAATTGAAAATTTCCCTCCACATAAAATGTGAACTTTGTTCTCAACACGTTTGTTTCTTAAGTCTTTTGTTTTTTTTATTTAGGCGCCAAGTGTTAAAATTATCGCAGACTATTCGAAATCCCCACAATAAAAGAACAACAATTCCGAACGTCAAAATTTAGGACTATATGGAAATTAAATCATTTGGGCATATATTGAATGGCATTCTTATGATAATATTTAATTTCTATTGTAATAAAAATAGTCGTAGACTACACTAGGTCAGTGGTAATTCAAAAGAATTCAATTCAGAATTTTAATTTTAATTAAATATTTTTATAGAACATTCTTCTAAATAAAAATAAATATATTTGCATGAATAAACAAGGTGCTATTTTTTTTTAAATTAATTTAAGTAGTTTTTATGTTTATGTGTTTTTATTATAATTTTTTTTTCTATTGGCATCGATTATAAACCATTTTTTTAAGACTAACAAGGTGTAGATTTGTTTTAAACATATTTTTCATGTTGGTTTCAAAGCAAATATTTTTTTAAGAACCAACAAGGCGTATTTTTATTTTTATAAACATTAAGAAAAAGTAGATTTTTTAATAAATATTTTTTCCAGCGGCAACAAGAAGTGGAATTTTAATAGAAAATTTTCAATTATGGCCGACTTTAAAAAATATATATTTCTTAAAAATTCAAGCCTTATGGCCGATCTTAAAAGATATTAAAAAAATTATAAATATAATTTAAATAATTTAATTTTTTTAATATTTTTAATTTTTTCAACATAAAGAAATTAAAATTATAACCAGTAAGGAAAGTAGTAAAGTCGGTCGGGGCCGACTACAGTAGACCACGGATATAAGAACATCTTATATAAGAAAAACACGGATATAAGAAAATGTTTCACCCATAAATGAAAACAGTTTGTTATATAAAATACATTCATATAAGAAAAACCCGCTTATAAGAACAAATTTCTCGATTTTTTTTGATGTTCTTATATACATGGTCTACTGTATATGATACCCTTCACCACTATGGGTATATTCAACAGATGCATATTAACAGACCTTTATCTACATGTGAACCGACTTAGATCAATCTATAAACATGTCATTCGTTTCTTACAAAGGGGCAAAGTTATGTAAATCGATTTAAAGAAAATATCAATCGGGCAACCGTTGAATATTTGGAGCCCAATTAACACGAACTCGGTCGGAAATATATATGGACTATATCTGAACTTCCACTTCAATTTTATGCATTGTTCAAAATTTCATGTCAAAATTACAAACATGAGGAGTTTGGTGCACTATTTACTTAAAATCGGATGAAAATAGATATGGAAGCTATATATAAAAATGAACCGATTTTCAAAAATTTTACGCACATCATTCTAGACTCAATTCAGTACGCTATTCCAAATTTCGTGTATATCGAAAGATATATAGGGTCTTTGGCACACCATTTACTTAAAATCGGATAAAAATAAATATGGAAGCTATATATAAAAATGAACCGATTTTCAAGAAATTTTACGCACATCATTCTAGACTCAATTCAGTACGCTATGTCAAATTTCGTGCATATCGAAAAATATATAGAGGGCCTTTGGTACACAATTTACATTAAATCGGATGAAAATATATATGGGAGCTATATCTAAACCTGAAACCGATTTTCATAAAACTTAACGAACATCATTCTAGACCTACTTCAGTATGGTATGCCAAATTTCGTGCAAATCGAAAAAAACGTAGAGGCTCTCGAACACTACATAAAATTGGACGAATATATATATTTAGGAGCTATATCTAATTCTGACCGATTTTCAAGAAATTTAACACACATCATTCTAGACTGAATCCAGTACGTTATGCAAAATTTCGTGAAAATCGAAAAGTATATACGGACTTTGGTATAGCATTTACCTAAAATCGGTCGAAAATATATATGGGAGCTATATCTAAATCTGAATCGATTTTGAAGAAATTTAACACACATCATGCTAGAATCAATCCAGTACGCCATGCCAAATTTCGTGCAAATCGAATGATATATATGGACTTTGGTGCACTATTTACCTAAAATCGGACGAAACTATATATGGGAGCTATTAATAAATCTGAACCGATTTTCTCGAAATTTAACACACTTAGTTCCAGGCTTAATTCTGAACGCTATGCCTAATTTCGTGCAAATCGAAGAATATATAGGGACATTGGTGTACCATTTATAATGGTTTAAATAAGCTGTGCCAAATTTCATGACATTCGAATCAAAAATGCGACCTGTACTTTGTTTACAATTTAACATGGACAGACAGACGGACGTACGGACACGCATAAATCGACATAACAAGTAATCCTATGCATATTCTCAAAAGGAACCATGTGTCTATCTCGTTTCCTTTTGCCTGTTTCAAACATATGCACAAAGACATAATACCCTGTACCACAAAAGCAAGAAAGGTCTTGAATTTTTAAAATTACAATTTTAGAATCTGGGCGCTGAAATTTAAAAAAAAAAATTACAAGGATTTTCAGAGCAAGAAGTCAACAACAATATTGTTGATTATGTTGACAATATTTTATCAAGAAACAATAAGGACTAATTTCTTATATTTTTAATGATTATCAGAGCTGAGAATTTTCAATTAAATATTTTTTCAAGGACCAACAAGTTTTAAAAATATTTTCTTTCTTATAAGATAATGTATTGCTTTTCTATAAGAAACCCTTCATAAAAAGCTATATTGGTCTTTTATTGGGAACGATATTGGCCTTTTATTAGAAGCCCTATTGACCTTCTTTGAGAATTCTTCTACGATAAGAAGCCTCACTGACCTATAAGAAGCAATATTGGTATTATCTAAGTAGCCGTATTTTGTATATAGAAAAAAATCCGTCCTCATAGACCAAGGATTCTTTTTTGTAGAAACAATTCTTTCATGTTTTTGATTGAGGGACATTTTCTATAGAAATTAAACCGGAAATCATGACTCAGATTTATTTTATTAATGTCCAATGATCTCAGAGAATTAGGACCTGCTCGAGATTTTATACCCGACCGGGCAATATCACGTCTTATGTCACAGGGGGATATGCGATTTCGATAATCCCCCCTTAGAGTATTATCCGTACAAAGCATTTGAAAATATGGGACAGACGGAAGGATGTGGAACTGGGAGGTTTAATAAATTTTCGTGGTGACGTGTTACAAATGTAAATACGTCGTGATGTGGAATTTGTAAAAATTGCCACGATTCCACGGTCAATGCTGGTAAGGGTAGTAGAGGTTTATTGGGAGCCTCTCCAAAGTCAATGACTTATATATTTTTTATATTTGGATTTTTTCTATAGGGAAAATCAGACATTAATATCCAAGGATCTGAAAGAATGAAGATTTTTTTTCAATTGCAAAAAAAAAAAAAAAAAAAAAATACGTCGTGATGTGGGATTTGTAAAAATTGCCACGATGGTGGTAAGGGTAGTAGAGGTTTATTGGGAGCCTCCCCAAAGACTATGACTCATATTTTTTTTATTTTCGGATTTTTTTCTATAGGGAAAATCAGGCATTAATATCCAAGGATCTGAGAGAATGAGGATTTTATTTTCAATTGCAAAAAAAAAAGTAATAATAATAATAATCATGAAGTATGGGGATTGTTTCTATCGACAGATCTCCTATAAAGACCACATTTTGTTTTCTGCAAAATTAAATATAAGACTCTTATAAGAAGATGGATTATTCTTCTATAAGAGACCGTTGTTAAAAAGGAAAATTGGAATTTTATTAGAAGCTCTATTGGCTTTTTATGATAAGCCATATTGATCTTCTTTGTGCAGCTTTCTATGATAAATCCTATTGGTCTTCTACAATTAGCCTCACTTTTTTTCAGTAAGAAGCGATATTAGAGTTAAGAACAAATTTTTGGCTTTCTATAAGAAGCCTTCCATAAAAGGTCATATTGGCCCTCTATAAGAAACCCTACCTATTTTATTGAAATTCTATAAGAAGTTCTTCTGACCTCCTTTCATTCTGAACATCTATAGTAGGACCTTATGATAATAGAGGAATGCTTATATATTTTACATCTGGTCTTCCCTAAGAGAATTTTATGGTATTTATTTTATGGTATGGTATAGCAGACCTTCTGCTTTCCTATATTCGAATATTATTTTGATTTATTGTTTGTTATATAAAATATATTTTTTTCTGAAACCAAAAAATCACTTATGATGGCCATTAACTGATATTTAAATTTTTATAAAGAAAGTTGAAATTCTTTTCAAAAAAGCTAAAAAAAGTGCATCGATTAGTAAAAAAAAACAAAACAAACCATTTCATGCCCATAATTTGTTATGAAATTTCACAACGGAAACGCAGCACCACTTCAAAAAAACAATACTTATGTGGCGAAATTTCTAAAAATTATCCATATAAACTAAAACAACGACAGCGAAAAAATGGCCAAAGCGAAATTACCAAACCGGCAGGTTAATGTTGAGTGAGGTTCAGAAGTTTCAATATAATAATTATGAAAATATAAAAAAAAAAAAAAAATAGAAAAATAATTTAATGTAACATTGACGTGATGAGCTGGTTTTTTGAGAGGATGAGACTATTCACATTTGTGAAGAAGTTTCAAAAAGAAATAAAAAAAACGAGATGAAACGGAAATTAATTTTTTTGGAAAAAAATATTGAAATTAAATATTACCACTGAAAAAATTATTTTATTTTTTCAAATTGAATTTTTTATATATTTTTCTACATTTTCAAATCATGAAATTGTATTACATTGGTCGGGTGGTTCCGCTTCACTGAAGTAGATAATTATATTGACCGTTGGGTTGTTTAGTTAATTGGGTGAGGGAGATGGATAGTCTAAGGGCTATGCCCGCTTATTTATTTTTTTTTGTTTTTTGGTTTTGAACTTACCTTCCTCAATATTTGATTGCCGGTACTCATGCGTACATTACGTTTGGGTAATTGTGGAGGTTGTTGGTGCTGATGTTGTTGCTGCTGCAGCTGTAATTGATGTCGATTTGTATGATGTCTTAGATTCGCTGAGGGTTGTGTCTGCTTTTCTTCGTGACGATATGATGAGTGACTAATTTCAATTTTAATATTATCCCTTTTCGGATGTTTCTGCTGCTGCTGTCTGCTATCTGATCTCTCCCGATCACCCTGCTGCCCCTCATAGTATGAACAATTATCATCATCACAACTGGACATACTACAATAGCAGGGTAAATCATTTTCATCCTCGTCCTCCTCCAACTGTTGGCCATCCTCCAGTGAACCATAGGAGCTATTCCAAAATACCCCACTATCCGTTTGACAACAGGCCAACTGTTTCGAATTGTTGTTGTTGTTATTGGCATTTGGAGCCACCACAACCGTGCTTTGGGCCGAGGAGCAGGTTACACAACTGCTTATTTCACTAATGGCATCGGTACTGCTCAATGGTGATCCGGCACAGGCTCTTTGATCATCGGATATCGATGAGGATGGACGATTGAAGAATATCCCATTCGTATCGTTAAATTGACAACAACAATCCCGTTCGGAATCGCATAGGGATTGATTATCCCCATTGTGGGACGAAGTGGCTGAACAACCCGATGATGAATCCGACGAACTGGCAGAAGAACTACAACAACTGCTCGATGAACAGGTCGAATGGGCTGAGGAGTTTTGTGTACACACCGATGTTTGGGAGACAAATGAATGGGCCGATATACACGATGATCGGGTTAGGTCATGTGAATTCTGTCCCGAACTTCTTACAAAAATTTTCACAGAATTATCCCCAGTGTTCAAGGGTTTTTTGTGGGCAGCCGATGATGGTGGTGTTGACATCATAGTTTCAGTTATCATCAGCGAATCGGCCTCGATGAAATCCTCATCCGCATGCTCATTACTATGATCCATGATCCAATCATCATCGATGCGAATTTTGGTTAGATTACTTTTTTGTAAATTATTTTGAATTTTCAAACGCTGTTCATTTTCGATGTTGCACTGTTTGGTCGGATTGGGCGTATTTGAAATGGTACCTCCTGAACAGGATGATGTGTTGGATTTAGAGGATATGGAATTATTGAGAGCCTCATTTGTGGTGGCCTTGGTCAGATTCTTCTTGGCGAAATTTGTAACATCATTGGGATCCGCCAGATTGTTGTTGTAGTGGCCCGAAAAGGAGGTAATCGAGGTCTTACCCACTTGGATGGTAATGTGTGATGTGCCCGAGGAGTGGCAGGAGATATTGGGCTTAATGGGTTCCTCTAAATTTTTACTCAATTTATATTTATCATAGCCAAAATCCGTATCAAAGTGCTCGGATTTTCCGGCGGCCTTTTTTATATCCGAGCACTTTTCAGGGTTTTTTAAATTATCCGCTGCCTTCATTGAGTTGACGGATGATGAGTTTGCGGGTTTCTTATGTTCATCATTGGATGAGGATACCCCCGAATCGGAATTACTTTCCAGGGATAAACGTTTAAGTTTGTCATCTTCCTGCTGGTGCATTGTGGACAGATCATGTTGAGAGCGGGACATGGGACAATTTTTAAAATTACAATTTTTATAACCACAGGTATTTTTATCCTTCTCCGGCTTCTCCTCTCCCCCCTCGTTGTTCGGTTCATTCAATTGATTAATAATCAGTAGAGGTTGACGTTTCTTGCGAATATGTACCCTTTCCACTTTGGCCTTGGTATATTGTCCAGCCGGGAGACGGGTATTTCTCAAGAGATTTTGATCTATGGGTAGAGAATTTTCTGGCGGAGATTTTTCATTATCCACATAACGAAAAGCCTCTTGGCGAATTCTGCCATCTGTTATGGGTTTGGGTATTCTGGAGATGGCTTTCCTATCCTTGTGTCCGGCACTTTTATGGTTCTCCTCCTTACCACCCTCCTTACAACATGATTTATCCTCTTTACCCATTTCCTGCTGGCTTAAACATTCCAAACATTCCGCACTTTTAATACTTAAAGATTGACGAAATCTTGTCGGATCTTCCGAGACAGGTTTTAGCCTTCGATTTGGTTCCTTGTGTGGTATTGGAGCCGGCCTACTGGGTTGTGGCGGTAATTGTTGTTGTTGCTGTCGCGCCGCTTGTTTTTGTTGTTCAAACATTTTATTAATTTTGGCCACTGCCTCCTTGGATTTTGGCCCGGCATGTTCACACTCCGTTAGCTCTATGCGTGCAATGCGATCTGCTCGAGATTTTATACCAGCCCGGGCAATATCACGCCGTATGTCACAGGTGGATATGCGATTACGATAATCCCAACTATTCGATTTTTCACAATCTCCATTGAGAGTATTATCCGATTCACAACCAGTATCGGCATCACAATCCCCTCCACCATTCGCACTGCATGAGGAGGAATGACAACAGCTGGTAGTGGAGGACGAAGCATTTGAAAATACCGAACAGGCGGATGATGTGGAACCGGGAGGTTTAACAAATTTTGGTGGTGAATTTGTGGTACGCTGAGGTGTGGGATTTTGTAAAAATTGCCATGATTCCACAGTTGGAGGTGGTAGGGGTGGTAGCGGCTTATTTGGGGCCTCATAACGATTGACAACAGAAATTCGGGCCACATTTTTAGAACGTTGTTGCTGCTGCTGCTGAGATGAAACTAATTGTACTTGTGGCAGGCTACGCTTATATTCCATATAACTATAATTTGGTTTGGATCCAGTTTTTGTCATCAGCGCTTCCTTGCATTGATGTACATAATTTACTTTCAGCAATTCCATTTGTGGTACCTCGGCACTGGACATACGCGAATCCAATGTACTGTCCATGCCAACACTGGCCAATGTTTCATTGGAGGATTTACGTTGTATATGATGCATTTTGTGGGTGGATTTTTTCATTATAATTGAAGAAACTCTGATGATTTGGAATGTTGAAAATTTATTTTAGGGTGTGAAGGCACATTTTTGTTGGATGGATATTTGGATTTCTCCTTTTTCGGAATTTCTTTTTCTTTAGTTATAAATTTTTTTATTTAAAATTGTATTGATTTCCTTCTTAGTTTTTTTTTTATTATCGGGCATTTCTTTATATTTTTCATTCGTTTTATTCAATTTCGCATGTTATTGTTCGTAAAAGTGTACTTCAGTGCAGTCTCGTGTCTGTTAATTCTCATTCACTTGATGTTCAATTGGTGATAAGTAAGGATATTGATTTTCACTAGAAGTTCAAATCCAGAGATGTTGGAATTTTATTTTCTAATCAGAAAATTAGATTTCAAATATTCTTAAAATGTGTTTAACACTTCTAGCTATGGAGATATTTCACTTCAGTGTATTATTGTTTAGGTTTAAGGCTTGTAATTCTCATTGGCTTGAGGTTTTCACTAGAAGTTCAAATGCAGAGATGTGACAATTTGGGTTTCTAATAAGAAATTTGTTTCCAATTAGACTTCTAATATGTTTAAAATGTGTTGAGTACTTCCAGCTATGGAGATATATCACTTCAGTGTCTTATAGTTTAGGTTAAAGGGTTGTATATCTCACTGGCTTGAGGTTCGTTGTTTTTTAGGAAATATTTCCAGGGCTTTTATTTTTCTTTATTTTCGTTGTAGTTCAGTTTTTTTCGTTTGATTTAAGATTTACAATTCCCATTCGGTGTAGGTTCAAAGTTGAGATTATGTAAATTTATTTCAAAAATCCCAGTTTACTTTTGAGATGCTGGGAAAATTGTTTCTGGTTTAAAATCTGACCACAATCGCTTCGAAAAGGCGTTCAAATGATTTTCAATATGGTTTTCAATGGAAATATTGTACTTCAGTGTATTGGTTTATTTTATTACTTTATGGCTAATGCAGATAATTCTCGTTCAAATCAGAATTCCCAGTGAAGTTATTAATAATTTGTTTTATTTGATTTCTCTCTAGAAATATGTTTCCGAATGACTTCCAATTCGCATAAAATCTATCATAACACTGCCTTCGATAGAATTATTGCTCTTTAATGTATTCGTTCAAGTTATTCCTTTTAGTCCAAGGTCCAAGTCCTGGTAATTCTCATTCAAACGAAGTTCGCTGTGATGATATTTGAGATTTTTTTTTTAAGATAATTTCTGGCCGAAGTATTTTTTTTGGATTGTTCTATTGATTTAAAGGCTGTAAATTCTCATTCGAACGATGTTCACCGTAGAGTTACTAGAGATTTGTTTTATTTTTATATTTGACCGAAATTTTTTTAAAACTTTAAGAATATCGTTTTTAATGCACTTCGTTGAATACGTTTATTTGATTCCTTTTAGTATAGTTCTGGTAATTTTCAGTCGATCCAATATCACTGTAGATACTTAGGAATTTGGTTTTTATTTTATATCTGACGAAGATTTCCGATCAAATTTCTTTAAATATTCTTAAATTGAATTACAACTCCTCTTGAGACATAGCTTTGACTTCATTCAAACTAAGTTGACTGCAGATGTTTTAGATATTTTCAATTGTATGTTTGACTGAGAGATTTCCCGTAGATATTTCAGTTTTTCATGAACCCTTATTTCGTTGGGTGAGACTTCAGTGTACATTATTTTCTGTTATAATTCTCATTTAGGTTAATCACTTGACAAATTAATCTCAAAATCCACTGTAACAGTATTCGTTCTTATGCAAACCAACTTTACAGCAGATATTTTGGATATTTTTAATTAATTGGTTATCCGATAAGAGAACTTCTGGTGCTGCTAATTCAATTTTCTGTAAACACTTCATTCACTGTGGATGTTTATAAAGCCTTAGTTTTTTACTTCAATTTCAATACAATTCTGTAAGGCTTGTAATTCTCATTCACTTGGGTCATTGAAATTAAAATGCACTAAAGTCGTTTCCGTTGCAGATTTTTATTTTGCAGATTGCTTAGAAAAATTACACTTCAGTGTTGTCACAGAAATTAATTGCTAAGAACTATAATAAAGCGTATAATTCTCATTACAATAAAGCATATAATTCTCATTCACTTTAGGCACTTGGAAGATTATTTCAAAAAGGAATTTTTGGGTTCGTATTTATGTGGGAGGGTTAGTCTATTCATTTATTTCGTGAAGTTTACACAGTTTTTGAATTCTGTAAAATAAATCCGTAACTAAAAGCTTCTCTTTGTTTATTTTTGACACTTCAATGTCTTAGGCGAATTTCAGCAAAGCAGACAATTCTCATTCACTTTACGAAAAACACTAAAAGCGTCATAATTCTCGTTAAGGCATTGGTTATTCACTTTCAAGCTTCTGACACCAGTTCACAAGCAAATTTTTATGATTTATTGTATATACTTCTTAAAAATGCTCATTAAGTGTAATCCTTAGTCACTTGAATGAGATTGGGCGAAGACTTCATTAGTCGTTGTAATTCTCATTAAGTCTGGAACATGAAAAATAATCTCAGCTGCAGCAGATTTGTGTGGGATTTTTTATTATGTTTATGTTTTTTTTATTATTTTCATAAAAAGAAACACCAACAACAAGGTTTTTTTATTTATTTTTTTGACACAATTTTCATAGTTAATAGGGGCACTTAAATGTTGGTGTATAACCTTGGGTGTTTTTTTTGTTCACAACAAAAAAATATATTTTTTTAATAATTCGAGTTTTCGATTTGGTTTTTTTTTTAATTTTTTGTTCGGATTTTCAACAATTGTAACACTTCGTTTCGTTATTTTTTGTATTCTTTTTGTTTCCGTTTCAAACAAACATTTGAATGGTCAATAAAGATTGAATAATAATTAACACGAAAAAACAAAAATAATATTTTGCATAATTATATAAATAAAAATCACATCGTATAATCCAATAAATCGGGAAGAGTGGGGGATTAACAAATCAATGCATTGAAATAACAATTTCTTTCCACACCAAAAACACACAATTGTTTACGGATTTTTTTTGTTTTGTATAGAAAGATGTTAAACTACCGATTATTTCCGAATCGTGTTTACTACCATTCATTCAAAATGTTTTCAAACGTTTTTTTTTTTGCTTTTCGTTTTCAATTCATCCGTTTTCGTGTTGTTTAACCGTCTAAAGTTTGTTTGCAACTGTTTGTATGGTGGTAACAATAGTGGCAACCACCAGCTATGTTGTTAAGTAGCATTGATCGTTTACAACACACAACATGTTTCTTTCATACATGTTGATGATGATATGTGTTTGATGTGGAGCTATGGGAATTTTATGTTACGCTTGCGCCTGGTCAAAAAAAGATCAACAGCAAAAAAGACATCATTCTTGTTTGACCAGTTTGTGGAGGTTTTTTATTGTTGTGGAGGCAGGCAGACACTTTTTTGTGTGAGTGACAAAGTTGACATGAATGTAAAGAAAAATAGCAGTGTAAGGGGTTTCAAAAGGTTGTAGAAGAGCTTAAGATCCTCTTCGACCTCTGAAGCGAATCTTCTGGCTGTAGAATAGCCAAAAGTTGTATAGACTTTTCTGGTATAGAAGACCTGAATATGCTCTTCTAACTATAGAAGTACTGAAGGGCTCTTCTGGATATAGGAGAACTGAAGAGACTTTCTACGCTCTTCTGGCAATAGAAGAGATGATGCGGCCCTTCGAGCTATAGAAGAGCTTATGAGGCACTTGGGTCTGAAGAGGTTTAACTCGGCGTAGAAGAAAGCTTATAAAACTGGGGAAAAGCTGAAGATGCTGTTTTAGCCTAGGAGACCTGAAGGGCTCTGTTCTTATGTACATAGAAAAGCTTAAAAGACATTCATCGATGAGAGAACGATAGCAAATCACCAAAAGGTCTTATACCATATATAAAAAATTTCAGAAAAGTCGACCTACAACCAAGATTTGGAGGATCTTCCGTTCATACAAGACCTACAAAAATGCATAGTATCCAGGAGATCTTTGGTTTTATAAAAGAAATCCAGAAGACCTTCTGTCCATGAAATACCTCCCGAAATGCCTGTGTTTTTAAAAGACCTCAAATAGGTCGCATATAGCTCTACATGGTATTATATTCATAGCAACGCTTCTGAAGACCATCTATTCAGGAGAGTTATAGGAAATCCCAAGAAGATCTTAAGACTTCCGAAAGGAGCTCATACAGTACCTACAAACAATCAAACCAAAATAGTCTCCATAAGGTGTTCTATCTGATAAAAGTCATTGAAAAAAATGTGTCGCCCATAAAAGGCCCTTCAAAGAGTTTATGTATATACAGACCTCGGTTCTTCTCATATGTTTATGAAAGGTTTCAAGAAAGTCTTCTTTAGAAGGCTTTAGGTAGGTGTTCAACCCATAGAATAACTTGGTTTTTGTTTACAGACGGATTAAAAGGTTCTTCTGTCTATTCAAAACCTCTGAAAGGACTTATGTTTATAGAATAACACAGGTGTCTTCCGTCTACGGACGACATCTAAATGTTATTCGGCCTACAGAAAGTCTCATTTGGATCGTCTGTCTATAAAATACCTCCAGAAAGTCGTCCGTTCATAAAAGCCCCACCATTGTTCGTCCCCGTATAAAAGACCTCCAGAAAACCTTATTTTTCTAAAATAACTGCAAAATGTTTTCTGTTTAAAAAATACCTCAAGAAGACATCTGGGAGATTTTGTCTATAGAATATCTAGAAGTTATTCTGTCTATTCAAGATCTATGGCCTTATGTCTGTGAACTTCCTCCAAAGGATCTTTTGAAGAATGTCTTCTGTGTTGAAACATAGCTCCAGGAAGAATATCTTTTAAGGTAGGTCTGCTGTTTAAGTAGACCACATAAGTGTTATTTGCCTATAAGAGACCTCAGGAGAGTTTCCGACATGTAGAAGCCCTAAGAAAGTCATTCTATTTATATAAGTACCTAGGTCTTCCGCCTGTAGAAGATAATAGTAGTTAATCTG